GGTTGGCAATTGCGGGTGCCAGCTGAGGTGAGTCCTGTGGCGTCCTATAGACGTACTTGAGGTGTAAGCTGTGCTGGTCTGGCCCACTTGTCAGAGGCAACATGCCGAGATGGCACGCGACCTGTGCTAAGGAGTTACATTCCCTCAGGGAGGGTGTGGCCCATTCCCAACAGTTGGTAGGGAGGTGAAAATACCAAAAGAGGGTAAATTACTTTTTGTAGTGAAAACTTTAAAAAACCAAATGAATCATCTAGCAGCACCTTAAAGATCTAATATGTTGATGGCATCCTGAGCTTTCCAATGGAGGAGTGGGCTGTGTCCACGAAAGCTTGCCACCCTGACAGACCTAATAGCCCATTAGCAAGAGACACTGAGTGTGGGAGAATTGTGGGTCCTTGAGACAGGCTACACTGCTTCTGACTCGTAGATATTTGACTGACCCTGGCAGCTGGTGCCGGAATCTATCTTGAATTTTGCACTTTCCTCGAGTGGTGTGGGAGAATGGAACAAGGGCTTCCTGCCCCAGGGAAAGTCTATACAAGAGGAGGGAAATAAAAAGTGTCTTTATCTGGCCTTACAGATGGCCTCCCCACCCAGAGAGGATACAAGAAAACCCCTGGAAGCAAAAGGACTGTAAGGGCAGGTGTGGAAGACCAGGTCTTGCATCAGCCCATGAAATACGGCCCAAGGAGGGGTGAGAATGGAGGGGCGAGGTGTGGGAAAGGGGGCCCATGGAGACTCAGGACACTAAGCCTGGGCAGGGGAGTAGCTTTATGGCAAGCAGACCAGCATGGAGACTGTTACTGGCCTGCTTTGGTTCTTCCCCAGCCAGAGGGATCACACAGAAACCAAGAGGCTGGCCAAAGCATACCATGGCTACCTGTCCCGAGAATTTATTCTATAGCAGGTGGCCCTGCTCTTAGATAATGTTACTGAAGTAAAACACTGCTAACTTGGGCCAAACCATCACCAGTACAATCAGGCTACATCTACACTGGCAGCTTCTTGAGCAATAACAGTTGTTCTTGTGCAAAAATTTGCCTACTGTCTACACTGCATGAGCATTCTTGCACAAGTAAATTTACAGTATAGCATTGTAAAACAGGGCTTCTTCCAGAAGTTATTCCTCTCCCCATGTGGAATAAGCCCTCTTGTGCAAGAGCTCTTCCAAAAAGGGCAGTGTAGACCGGCAACAGGAATTTCTTGCACAAGAAGCCCCTATGGTTAAAATGGCCATCAGAGCTTTCTTGCGCAAGAGAGCGTCTACACTGCCATGGATGCACTTGCGCAAAAGCACATGGCCGTGTAGCTACTGTCTTGTGGAAGAATGTTTGCACAAGAACTCTTCTTCAAAAAGCTGCCAGTGTAGACAGCCTAACTTATTTCACCACATTCTGGCTGCTTTAATATGGCTCAGTCTGTCCCTCAGGGCATTTCATCTCCCCCTCTCGCTGGGTGAGCCCTGCTCATGGCTTGTTTCCATGTTGTCTGCCTTCACTTCACTTCTCTGGGCTGGGCTTCACCACAGATGCTTACAGTCCCCGGGGGAGATTTTCCTTTGCCTGTGCTCACAGAGTCTGACTCCTCCTGGGGCTCTGGCCCGTGCCCATCTTGCCAATCTCCTGTCAGTCTTTGTGCTCACTGGGGGCACAGGCCTGGCTTCTGACTCCTTGGTCACCCTTTGTGGCATCAGGTGTGACTGAGTGTTCTGTAGCATCAGAGCAATGAGAGGCTGGAAGGGACTTGGAGGCTACAGAGTCCAGCTTCAGCCCCGAGACAGGACCAAGGCAATCTGAGCTTTCCCTGGCAGTGTCTGTCCACCCGGGTCTGAAACCCCAAATCTCCCTTGCTGCAGATGAAGCCTTTCCTCATGGTCCCACCATCAGTGGACATAGAGAACAGTTGATCCCTGTCTTGTTCATAACAGCCCCTCGTCCCAGTAGTCTCTCTATGGCAATCAGTGGTTTGTGGTAACTTCAAAGTAGAAAATGACAGCACTGGAGAAAGTAGTGAAATCCCGTCATAAGAACGGCCGTACCGGGTCAGCCCAAAGGTACATCTAGCCCAGTGTCCTGTCAGCTTAGAAAAGAGGAGACTGAGGGGGGATATGATAGAGTTATATAAAATCATGAGTGGTGTGGAGAGGGCCGATAAAGAAAAGTTATTTATTAGTTCCTATAATAGAAGAACTAGAGGACACCAAATGAAATTAATGGGGAGCAGGTTTAAAACTAATAAAAGAAAGTTCTTCTTCACACAGCGTGTAGTCAACCTGTGGAACTCCTTGCCAGAGGAGGCTGTGAAGGCTAGGACTATAATAGAGTTTAAAGAGAAGCTAGATAATTTCATGGAGGTTAGGTCCATAAAAGGCTATTAGCCAGGGGATAAAATGGTGTCCTTGGCCTCTGTCTGTCAGAGGCCGGAGAGGGATGGCAGGAGACAAATCGCTTGATCATTGTCTTCGGTCCACCCTCTCTGGGGCACCTGGTGCAGAGGAGGCTGTGAAGGCTAGGACTATAATAGAGTTTAAAGAGAAGCTAGATAATTTCATGGAGGTTAGGTCCATAAAAGGCTAGTAGCCAGGGGATAAAATGGTGTTCTTGGCCTCTGTCTGTCAGAGGCTGGAGAGGGATGGCAGGAGACAAATTGCTTGATCATTATCTTCGGTCCACCCTCTCTGGGGTACCTGGTGCTGGCCACTGTCGGCAGACAGGATACTGGGCTAGATGGACCTTTGGTCTGACCCAGTACGGCCGTTCTTGTTCTCTGCGCTGGGCTCTCGGCCTGACCAGCTCTCTCAAGTGCCATGTTTCCTAGGGACAAGCTGCTCCTCAGACATGGTCATTACGTATCCCCCATCTGCATGGGATTCAGTGTGCACAGCTAGACCTTCCGGGTCTGCCCCCAGTGCATTTGCACCTGGGGCTTTCAGAGTTAGCTCCACATGCTGTCTGCATTTCCACAGCTTCTGACCGCTACTGCTGCTACCTCCTGGGTCTTCCAGCACATGGTGGCTTCCATGCTGGTACCTTTTCCTGGCCTGCTGCTGAGCAGCTCAGGATCAAGGGAAGGGCTGGGCACTGTGGTGCCACAGCTCAGCCCTGGCAGGGGGGGCTCTGTTGCATTTC